GGGGGGGGGGGGGGGGGGGGGGGTGGGGGGGGGGGGGGGGGGGGGGGATTTATCTAAACATTATGAGTTTTACAGTCCTACAGCTGCTGAGAAGATCCTGAACAGACAGGAGCAAACATCTGCATCGTCTCCTGAAAGGCAGCTGCTCCGTCAGGACGCTACATGAATCTTCAAAAGGCGAGAGGATCGAAAGAAATCGCACAAAAACAAAACGTTTTGTTTAGAAACGCAGCTCCCAGTCTGGACTTTAATGCAAACCCAGTCCCGACAGTAACTCCAGAAAAAGGATCTTTATTTACGAGCCGTTAGTCGCCACTAATCTCCGCCTGCTGCAGATCTGAACGTTTCAAAACTTTCAGACGTTTTTCATGATCATCAGTTTAAAAACGGTTACACGCCTGATTAAAGCTACTCATTGTGATGAAAACCTGACAACAAATTTAAAAAGTTAACCGTTTGTCTCATATCTATTGTTGTCCTTAAATTAGCGGCCATGTTTGTTTCTCTACAGACCAGCTTGTTTTACGCAGCTTTGTTTACATTGAGCGCGGACCCACATCAGGAAAACTACCGGAGTAAATTTATTTAAATCGCTGATTGTTATGGTTCAGGATAATCTTTTTACAACAGTTTATTCCTCTAAATTTAACAGAACGAGACAACTTGTATTAGAACCAAAGCAGCAACTATAATTAGCTTATGACAAATTCAGTGAATGCTTTATATTCTGCAACGCATCACTCTGTACAGAAAACATTTAATTTTAAAGTACAAGTTAAACGTTTGGACACTGTTAAAAGTTTCTGTGCCATAATGGAAAATTATTCAGCTACGATTGGACATTTATGAAACAATTTTAGTTTCTTCACGCCGCATGATGAAGTTACCATGACGACGACGAAGCAAATTGATCATTCCAGAGGTCAACGGTGAATTTTCAGTTAAAACGACGACGAGTCACAAGATAGATTTCGATCAAAGATGCTTTAAAAATATTAAGAGGTGAAATTTACATCCAAACGTCCAACCAGGACCACGACATCCACAGATGAGGGCGATGCTGCCGCTCTGTGCGTTGCTACAGTTGTTGCTGCGTTCTTCAGCTACAGCGTGACGAACGTGGTTCTCCGGCGTCTCGTCACACAAATCAGTCCGGCGATCACGAGGCGGACCGAAACCACCACCACGAGGCCAAACAGGACTATTAAACACGTGAGTGGGAATGGAATTTTAATGTTTCAGAAATTTAAAAGAAAAAAATCAAACGCACCAACTCACACAAACTTAAAGACGTCGGTGTGTTTCGTGAGTTGAATCCGTGTTTTCCAACAGTGGATGAAGGGATGGATTAGGAGTTGCTGGTTTGGCAAAAAAAAAAAAAGCAAACTATTAAACATTTTGAGGGTCTTTCACTTTTCATATGGCACAAACAAATCTGTTTTAGAGCCGTCTGCGAGAAGGACAACAAAACAAACTTTAAATACTCCCACACTGACTCCAGGTGACGTTTCAATTAAAATAAAAAGATCAGTTTTAGCCTGTTTGGAGAATTAAAAAAAAAAATGTGTGAAAACTTGTTCAAACATTCAAAAATAGGAATGAAAATACAATTCTTTAATGATCTGGACAGAAAAAGATAAAAAATTAAAAACCGCAAAAAAAAAAAAAAGTGCAGGCTCAGTGACTGAAAACAAAATGTGCATTATCGTATAACCACACATTTGTATTAGGATGGAATAAATGCGAACACAAGAAAATACTAAAACTCTTTTACAGTCGTCTTTTTCAAAAAAAAAAAAAAGTCCCAACATCATTTTCGGGTTCTCCTCCGCTGCGAGCAGCGCGACGGGAGCTACGCGAACGCCATCAGCAGTTCTGGTCTCGCCAGAGAAACGGGACCTTCGTTGGAACAGAAAGAGGCGGATGGAGCGGAACGGTGGGAGGAAAGAGCGAGGGCGGCCATCGTCTCACAGGCGCTTCTGGGCGAAGAGCGAGCCCGCCACGACCGCCGTCACCACCGTCATCCCCACCAGCAGCCACTTCTTGAAGCCCTCCTGAGCGAGTCTGCTTTCAGCCGCTGCGTTGTCGCCGAAGATTTCAGCAAAGCGCTCCTGAAAGAAGCAAAAAATTAAAATTAAAACACAGAAGGAGCGACTGCAGAGAAATATTTTACTGACAGTGTTAGAAGAGTTCCCAAACGGACGAAGATTGATGATCAGGTTTTTAATCTGAGATTTATTTAGTAAAACTGGTATTTTTGCATCTTCCTCCGAGTCAGTGCTTGACGGACTCGGGGGCAGCAGGCAGGTGGATTCCCTTCGTAAAGGTCTCTACGATCTCACTCAATCACATTTTCATCCACTGCAGCGATCATACAGGTAAATCAGCAAACGTAAAACTCCCCTAAAAGCCCCTGCAGTGATGTTATCTGGACGTGATTTCATTAATCAAATGACCCCCCCCCCCCTTCTTTCCGGCGTCTTATCAGCGCTGCATCAGATCCCTCCAGAACCGCTGACATTTTTCCCTGCAGTTGTCCTTAATTTGCCACACTGACGCAGACGGAAACCATTTCCTGGAAATGAGCTCGAGCTGGGTGCAGGTCCCCCCCCCGGCCTCAGGGAGGCGCCAGCCAGGCTCTGATCTCACACAGGCCAACATGGAATCAGCTGACATGGACCAGAAGACTCTCTCTGCTGATGACCCTCGTGTTGTTCTCACTTCAAACTGATTTCACCTCGGTAAACACGGTCTGTGGGACCAGTGCTGCTTCCCGACAGATTCACGAGGCTTTAAACCAAAACAAAATGTGAAAGTGACTCAGATGTCCGTCTGAACCAAACACACGGTCTTTAACAGGGGTGGGGGTGGGGGGGCGGCTCCTTACTGGAAACCAAGAAAGGGGAACAGATGACTGAAAAGTGAAACTCAAAGAAGAGTCGAACGTTCGTCTAATCCAGGGGCGTCAGACGCATTTGTAATGTGGGGGGGACACACTGGTGTGGGGGTCTGGGGGTCCTCCACCAGAAAGTTTTGAATGAAGTAGATTTCCTGCATTCTGGTGTATTTATGTTTACATCCAAATGTAAAAACTTGATTCAACAACTATTTTAGAGACGGCTCGTTCAACTCGTCCATTTATGCATCATCCTGTTTTTAAACTCCTCTGGCTGAGATAAAGAAATTAATGTGATGATTTACAACAAACAATGACTTCAGGGGTGCACTTGACTTTATTTTGTTTAGATTTGCAACACAGCATGCCATTGTGCTAAGCAGCGGTGTCATTGAATTGCATGTTTAAAAATAAGAATATTAACTTTACCCAATGAACATTTGAATAAAACCACCACCAGTGAATTTAGGGGTCATTTTACGGTTTTATGATTTAGTGACAGACTCGTAACAGAAATGACCGGGCATCATGCAGCCCTCACAACACTGAACTACACTGAGCCAAGCAACAGTGACATAAAAAACACTTTTTAGTCCGTTTTAATCAGCCTGCATGTAATTATTAAAACTAAATAATTCACAGGTTCCTTCCTGTCTTGGTGCCTCAATTTCTGAAACACTTCACAACTTTTATTCCCCTTTCCTTCACAATCTATTTAGAATAACATCCATCTCCTCCTCCCATCGTTTTCCTTTCCTCTGTTCCTTCCCCATCACTGATTTGACCAATTTTAGTCCTGATCAATCATCCAGGTAAATAATATAAAAAGTTAAATCAGGTCACCGGGACAGACTCTTCTTGGTTGAAACGTTTCATGAGCCTGAGGCCTGCCAACACACTGTTGTATAAATAGCACCTTTTAAAGTGGTTCAAACCAGTTTGCCATGAATTCCCAGAAACTGGCTTTTCACGTGTAAAAGAGGACCATCAGTCTAAACAATCGATCATCAGTGCACAACAATCGATCGTTAAAACTTGTTGACTGGGTTCTTTCTCCCTTTCTCTCTACAACACCGTCAGCTGGACGATCAATCTTATGGCAAAGACGAGACAAAACAAGTTCTTCCTGCTCAGATTAGACAAAACTTTCAAAAATGTGCAGCTTTATGTCATTTATAGACGCAAAGACTGACAAATGTCCCTCGTGTCCACCTGATCAAGCCTCTCTTGGTGCATGTAGCAGAGAGCTACATTGTTCAAACGATGTCTCATGGAGGAGGAAGCCACGTCTTAAGCCTTCGTGAAGCTCCAAAACTTCTTTCAGCCTCAGCTGAAGAGATACTCCGGTCAACAACGGCCTGCACCAACAGTGCGCAACACAGCTAGCTAGTTTGCGCCACACAGAGGTGTCTTCCCCCCTCCCTGTTGACAAACCCCCCCAAGAGAAGAGTGCCCTGCCAAGTCAAGTGACCTCGGGGCAACACCGCATGAGGTGTGGTGAGCTGCTGTAGACAACCAGGAGAACACAGAATGGACTTTCAGTGGTTTGAATAGAATGGATTTTTTCCACCAAGAAGTAGAAACAGCACTGGGTGAAATAATATTTCAAGGTAAATAAATGTGGGGGAGTCCAAACAAATATTTTTTACATGTGAGGGGGACACTTCCCCTTCACATTTAATTATGGTCTGAACAGGAAGTTTTAAAGTTCACCCTGAGCTGGACTGACTGGAGTCACTGGGCTCCCAGCTGACAGACCAGTCCAGGGAACACAGAGTCTTTCACAGCAGCACTGCCTGGGTGTTTGTAAGCCTGTTAGCAAAATATCACACAAACCACTGAACTGATTTTGATGGAACTCCTGATGAACTTTTGGAGTCAAGCCAATTCAAAATGGTCACCATAATGGAAATCAAAATGGACACAAATCCACCATTTTTTAAATATTTTTTTGATTCAATCCGATTAAAGATGGCTGCCACAGCTAATCATCATTAGTGAACACAAAAATGGCCCAAACACAGTCAAATATACAGATACTGAGCTATAGGTTTGTTGTGGTAGTAGCCGACGGTCATCCATAATTCATACTTTGAGCACTGATTGTACGACAGCTTGGCATGCAGGACAGCGGGCGATATGCATTCAGGTGAGGACTTCCTGCCATGATGATACATGAGATTTAAGGAAATAACGGCCCTGCAGTGCATATTTGTACAATGCAACTGTAGTATTTTATGTGGTATGGGTTCAGGTGTAAAGATGTATATTTATAAATGACTGGGGTAGTTTTGATGTTGTATATTTACACACTTTTAGGGTTTGGATATTTTTGTTTTTATTGGATGCTGTGAATGTGTATTTTGGGCTTACGATGCAAGAGAGCCTTTAGGCTAACTCTAGAACATTTATCTAAAGTTCATTAAGGTACACTGTACTTGGTAAAGAAATCATTATACTAAAAAAAAAAAAAGGCCATTCACGTAAACATTTTGGAGCAGATGTAAAATTTCCATGGGGTTTTTATGCAAGACGTTGATATAGATTAGAATAATTGTTTTAAGAGATGCATTTAGGTGTAATGAGTTCATCCAGTGAATATAAAATGTCCATCAATGCACTGTGAAATGTTGGAGAATCAGGGCTTTAAAGTGTTGAACTGTGAAGACCGTGTATGTGTGGGTGGTAGCAAACATCTTAAACACTGTCTTTCCATTATCCAACAATAAATTACTGGTAAATTACCGTTCAAAGAGAAGATGAACAACTCCTGTGTCACTCTGAAAACCTTTGTTCTTTAATATTGATTTCCACTTTGGAAAATCCAGAGCAAAGTTGACTTTTGGTTTGTTTTTTCTCGCTTCTTTGCAGTTTCACTTCTTAGAACAGCCGGATTTATTGTACCCGTTGCTTGTTTTTACATCTTCTACATCGATGAGATCGTTTATCAGATGCGCTCTCATACAAACCAGAGATCAATGTTGCAAGATTTGGCAACAGAAATGAGCATTTAGATAAATGAGAACAAGTTTGGGATCGTTTTCAAAAACCTAAATGACAGCCCTGGTGATGGCGATCAGCCACCAACAACGTCAGATCTGTCAGTAAACGATATTCTCCGACAATCCCCTCGTTGTCTCGGTGATCGTCGTGCATTTAAAAGAAGAGGCTGAGGTGAAAGAAGCAGGAAAAATATGCAATTTATACTTGTTAGGGCAAGAAAACCAAAGTTTAGACCAAGCCCAAATGAAGTAAAAGGTTGAGCTACAAAAGATACAAACACATCTCCTGTCATTATTTGACAGCCACTGACTAAACTTTCTTTCTCTTCACTGCACGACTGGAAAACAAACGAGCCAGAGGACAAATAAATAAAAGGTAATAAAAATGGAATAATAGATGATGATATACGGTATTTTTCAGATTTATGTATTTAGCCGACGTTTTATAGCTGCAAAATATTTATGCACAGCATCCAAGATGGAGGAATATTAATCAGCATCCATCATGACATGTACAACACGAGCAGTCCATCAGCTCGATCAATTAAAGCATGACAAATATGAGATCACTTCATTGATTGAGACAGCGCGCGCACATGCACAAAGCTTCACAATAAATAATTCATTAAAAAGATATCGGCACAGACCATCGCAGTACATTGCAGTACAGAGGACGGTCCTGACGTCAGCATGTTTTACAGCGAAGGCTTACAAAAACAAACGTGACGCAGTCGGTGCCTTTTGAGCGGACAAATCCGCCGGGTTGAAATTTGAGGGAACAAATCAGTGTTTTTAGAACTCTGTGCTTGTGCTGATGTTTGTAGCAGATAGCTCGACAGCATGATGTAACGTCGAGCCAATACGATCCTTCTCTTCTAATGCAAATCTTTCAATCAATTTAAGCGCTTTAATGAAATCAGGATCAATAAGGAGTTTGGTTTGTGGAGGTGGGGGCTTGAAGAAACTTTCCGTCCCTTCCAGAACAGAAAACTTAAAACGTACGAGGAAATATTTCAAATGGTAAAGGCAGAGGAAGTAATTTCAGGAGTGCCTTTCTGGTTGACAAGACCTCAGATCTTTGAGGACCAGTTCCTTCCTTCCTCGCCGTCATCGTCAAAAACAGATTCAAGTAGATGAAATACCAGACGGGGATCACAAAACACGACTAGTTCTTTGGAAAAAGGGGATGAAAAACACACGCAAGGGACTGGGT